GAGTAAGAAAATGCTCCGATAAAATAGCTGTAAGAACAGAACTGGACAGTTATCCTTTTGATGGGCCCATTTAAAGACAGACTCTTTTGTATCACGATTGACTCTCAAAAAGAGAAATTATCATACTACTAAAAAACACTGATTTTGGCACAAACATAACATAAATCAGACACATATTCATCGTATTCCCATGTTAAAAAGTTAGAATAATGTATAACATGATACTGAAAATATGAGAGCAAACAAGTTTAACCTTTCCAAAAAGGTATGGAGTGTTTCACAGTATAATTAATTAACGTCAGACTTTGTTTTCATGCTTTTTTTTGTGATTTTTAGAGAAAGTTTTTATTTCGGTTACTTTTATTTGGGTTTCAGTTTCATAATTATTACTACATGTAATATGATAAAAAAAAATGAAACCTCTCAGGCAATAGGTTCCGTTCTTAAGGTCATGAATATTGGACTGTGAAAGGAAAATTTAGCATGAAATAGCCATCATTTGTATGTGTTATATGTAATGCCTGATGATATGATATGAACACCGTTTAAACATCACACATAGCAAATAATGTCAATAAAACTAATCGTGTTAAACGGAATAAATCAAAGGAAATGTGTTATAAAAAATGTATAAATTTTGACCATCAGCGCTTATCCAATAACATTTGACCCTATAGCAACATAATTCATCGATCGAGTTTTGAATACCCATACTGTCAGACCATCCTTATATAATTTATTCTACTTCTCTCCGAATTAGCGAACACTGTTTAACGAAAGAAACTGGTATATGATATACAAGAAAAATCATCGAGCCACATTATAACGTCCTAGAAGATGAACTCCATTTTGTCATGTCATATTTCTAAACAATTAAGAACAGATTTTTATTGAACAAATATCTGATAACTCGAAAATAAATATACATTAAAACAAATTCCTAATTCTGAAACAATATACATGATGCTAAAAATATATCTAGTAACATGCATATAAGTTTTTGATTTATAAACATATTTCCATTTTTTTTGTTCGTAAGCCATTATAAAAATAAGAAGATGTGGTATGATTTCCAATGAGACAACTCTCCACGAGAGACCAAATGACACAGAAATTAACAACTATAGGTCACCATTGGCTTTCGCAATCATAAATTGCGTTTCATTAAAGTAATAAACCGAACAAAGGCTATGATAGATCTGCCATCAACACCAACAAAATATTAAGAAATTACATCAATCATCTCCCTCTCATCTCGATATCCGAATTAAAAAAAAAGTTGACCTTACGTAAAAGAGAGGTGAAGATCCAAAGGGACATTCAAACTCACAAGTCGAAAAGTAAAGAATCTTCAATATATAGTACATAAAGATAAATTCGGTAAAAGCACTTAACTCCAATAAACACTTTCATGGTGGTACATGTAACTGGAGAAGTTTATACGTTTGCATTTGTCGTAATAATAGAATCTCAACTCAACTATCTATTAACTTTCAAGTTGCATTTAATTTGTTAAGTAAAAATGTTGTACTGAATTTTCCTAGGGTACTCAGGCTTTTGTTTTTCTTTAAATATGACATAATAGTTTCAGTCTTTGGCATTACAAATGATTACAACTTCATGTTTGTGTTTCTAATATAATGTATCTCTTCAGTATACTTAAGACGAGAAAATGGTGTAATATGATAATGTTATTGCACGGATATACCTGACGGGATATTACATGAATATTGATAGATGTTGTCAGAAGTAGTTATTATTAATTTACGAGCTGCCGATTACAAATATAATGGGTGGTAACATTCGATCACCACGTTTTGTAAAATAACCAACCTTAAGTGTTGATTGAGGTATAGAAATATGGTCATCCCTGGACTCCTGTTTCGTCAATAAAACCTTGATATAGTAGCGCGTCCGTTTGCTTTGCGGAATGTATAAATACGCAGCTACGTTCAGTTGGAATGGGGACGTTGAATTCGGTGACTAGTGTAGGAAGAGTAACACACTTTAAACAATCATTGGAGAAACTATCTAATAAGGGTCCGAGTAAGGCCTGTTACCAGGCAAAATATCGGCCCTATCCAATTTATCCCTATTTTCCAATAGCCAGTTCAAATATTCCGCCCTTCGTCGAGGTCGACCAACTTGTTATGCGAACTGTAAATTTGTTCTGGTTTCGCATATGCATACAATATTTGCCACTGGACGTTACGCAACTAATTAATTACTCGTGTAATAATCTTTTTACTGCATTGCAAATCTTTTTTAATCGTCCAGGTCGTCAAATCATGACGATATACCATAGAAATTGCACTCTGGTTTGGTTTGTACGCACTTTATATTGCGATACAACCAAATATATTGCACGAGCTCGCTATCCTTTAATTGTAACGCAAAACTTTAATATGACATGGTCACCGCATAACCTAACAAAGATCTTTCATGAGTTTCAAAGCGCGCGTTATAATGGTGCAAACTTTAGTTACGTCTTGGACATAGTTTAAGTTGCTATGCAACAAAGCGTGATACATCTGTAATGTATAGCACATTAATTTTGAAGATTTAACAAAAGATAAAATTATAATACTGAAACCTAGAACGACCAAGACCGTGGTATGTGATATTGAGAAGAGTATTCGTACTATTTTTAGTGGGATGATTCATGTCAGTAAATAACAGTTCGAATTTACGAAACAAACTGCACTAAAAGATAAGTCGAAACTTGGAAATCAAAGGGCAACACTAACCAGGCAGATCAAAAGCGACTAAACTGATGTTAAGAGAAGCAAGGAAAATTAAATGATGGTATAACGATTATATTAGACCAATTATCTGTTATTAACTTATGTACTGTTGGCTTTATTGAAATAAAACATAATCATGAATACAAAAAAATGTGCTTTATAGCTGACGATTTCCAGCGAACAAATGTGAACTTCTAGATGGTAGTATAGAAGTGAAAAATATAACCTTCAAATTGCAAAAGTTGAAACGAAATATGCACAAGCTTCCAGATATTATAAGAAATAACCAATATATACGTCAAGAAAGTGTAGTAGAAGCTAATAATATTAACCTCAAGATAGCATAATAAATCGAAACGGACCTTTTCTAGCGAATAAATATGAACTTCAGGATGGTATAGTTAAAAAGCGAAAAAATGTAAACTTAAAGATATCATAGTATATGTAAAAGCTTAAGGATAGTAGAGTAAAAGCTTATGTAGTATAATAAACGAATAAGGAAAGTAGAATAAAAGCTTGAGGATATTATAGCAAAAGCTTAAGGATAGTATAATAAACGCTTGAGAATATTATAGTTAAAGATTGAGGATATTACAGTAAAAGCTTAATGATAGTAAAAAAAAGCTTGAGAATATTATAGTAAAAGCTTAAGGATAGTATAGTAAAAGCTTAAGAATAGTATAATAAAAGCATAAGGATCTATAGTATAGTAAAAGCTTAAGGATAGTATAGTAAAAGCCTAAGGATAGTATAGTTAAAGCTTAAAGATAGTATAGTAAAAGCCTAAGGATAGTATAGTTAAAGCTTAAGGATAGTGTAGTAAAAGCTTAAAGATAGTATAGCAAATACCTAAGGATAGTATAGTAAAAGCTTAAGGATGGTATAGTAAAGGCTGAAGGATAGTATGGTAAAAGCCTATGAATAGTATAGTAAAAGCTTAAGGATAGTATAGTAAAAGCTTAAGGATAGTATAGTAAAAGCCTAAGGATAGTATAATAAAAGCTTAAGAATAATATAGTAAAAGCTTAAGGATAGTATAGTAAAAGCTTAAGGATAGTATAGTTAAAGCTTAAGGATGGCATAGTTTAAGCCTTAGGATTGTATAGTAAAAGCCTAAGGATAGTATAGTTAAAGCTTAAAGTTAGTATAGTAAAAGCTTAAAGATAGTACAGTAAATGCCTTAGGATAGTATAGTAAAAGCTGAAGAATAGTATAGTAAAAGCTTACAGTAGTATGGTAAAAGCCTAAGAATAGTATAGTTAAAGCTTAAAGATAGTCTAGTAAAAGCCTAAGGATAGTATTGTAAAAGCTTAAGGATGGTATAGTTAAAGCCTAAGGATTAGTATTGTAAAAGCTTACGGATGGTATAGTAAAAGCATAAGAATAGTATAGTAAAAGCTTAAGGGTAGTTTAGTAGATAAAGAAAACAAATCAAGTACAAAAAGTCAAATACGGGAGTAATAATGTCGAAACGTTAAGAACGCCAATTGAAAACAAAACGAAAGCAGTGTGATGACAAATATTAAACATATCTTATTTAGTAAAAGAGAAAACAACATGATGATATAGGCCAATGTATGTTGGTACTGATAACGTAAATGATCGAAAGAACAATAAAAAATCATGTCAAAGGCATGACATTAATATTCAAAATGTGTATGAAGTGGTCTGAAAGGTACAAAACACATATATGTGATTGTAGAGAATGTGTATGACAAATACGACTACATGATGTAGTGAGGAGTGTGACCTTGGGTCATATCAAATGTAAATACAGCAATGTGATGTACAAAATAACCGATATAATATGTCCGTGTATACAACACGTGCTTATGGAATTATCTTCAACAGATACGTTCGTGATGTGATCCAAATTTGTAAAGCCAAAAAAATATTACGTGTATGACTACAAACTATAAGGGCCTAAATAGTACAGCAAAATTGTATACGGTCAACTACCTTTAGAGTGTTGCAATCTTACATTTTAGAAGAGAAGCGAAAGATACCTAAGGGACGTTCAAACTCATAAATCGAAAATATACTGGCATCGCCATGGCAATAAAAGAAAACGGCAAAAAGACAATATACAAAACACAACATAGAAACCAAAGACTGAGCAACACGAACCCCACCAAAAACGGGGGGTGATCTCAGGTGCTCTGGAAGGGTAAGGAGATGTCTAGTCGATGAAGAGACTTTAATAACTCAGTTGATATATATTCCGCCCACTTGTTCTTAACAGTATGATGTACTTACATCTAATGTCAGTTTGCCGTCAGGACAATCCTTCATGAAACCTTTGTACCTGATAAAAAATAAATTATGTCATTTACATTTCATCGCAAACATTCATAATAACTTATCTTGAAATATCATTCACGTTCCCTTTATTTGTTATCATTACTTTTGTATTTATCTGCACGTGGTTTGTACAGATAGCACCACTTTTATTCTAATATTCAAATTTCATTTTATATAACATCAAATTATGAGGCCCTTCATTTTAGTAGTATGCAGCAATAGAAATAATCAGTTTGAGGTACAGTTTATTTTTTAAACAAATGACACTTAAATGTTATGGTTTGAAGTAGGCGTTTTAGATGGAGAGTTGTCTCATTGGCACTCATACCATATCTTCTTATATCTATGTTTTGTGTACCTTGATGTTGTTTTTTTAACTTTTAGAAAATCTTAAAATCCAGAGTATATGCATTTATATTTTTTCAGCGATGGTATATTGATTTGTTGAAACTATTTCTCTTATCTGTATTTCTTCAGTTTTCTTTCTAAATCTGCCTTTTTGTTGGAAATTGTTATGTCTTCCATCTGAACTATTTGTCCTTAACCCATGCATTATTTTCTGTCATTATGTTTATGAACCCTATGCCTGTCTAAATATTCATACAGGTTCTGTATTTGACAGTGAAATTGTCTGGTAAGTTATGACAGTATCTGTTCGATTGTTTATCTGTTGTTGGTCTACAGATGTAAATGTACGTAGTGTTGTCCATTTTAGATCAATCCGGTGGAAGGGGCCGTCTTGATATTACAGAAAGATGTGATATTTAATGCTAAACGTTGAAGGCCTCGTTATGAATCTTGAGCGGGCTACAGAACATCTAAGGGAGTTAACTCTTTAAAAATCAGCTGAACGTTTTAATCACATGCTTACAAATCAAGCTTCTCAATGATCAAAATTAGTGTTTTTCTCAAACCGGTTAATATCCGATGAAATTATTTCTGCAAATTATGTGGTTCTCAAATTTCTTTCTTTTTTTATAAAAAATATTTGTCAACAGGTCAAAGTAAATATTTTGTCCAAATTTTATTAATTCTAGACAATACAAATCTATTTTAGTCAAAGTGTTGGGGTACTTAATTAAAGAACAGCAATAAGAGTGCTGTTGGTTTTGTCAAATGTGCTCATTGTTGAAGGCGCAGTTGTTCTACACCATCGTCTTTTGGTCTCTGGTTGATAGTTCTCTCTTTGGCAAACATTCCACATTCCTTTAATGTTTTTTTGTCCATTGTTGGTTGGCTTGGGTAAATAAAATATGGTAACCCTTGGGATCTGTTTATTATGACTAAATGCTACTGTACGATGTATATCTTATTAATAATTGATAATACAATATATTATTCGATTAATTATTTGCTTGATGGACTGGGTCGAAAGTACTTCGACTAAACTTCAATCACTTTCATGGAAACATATAATACATAAACGTACCATTGTTGAATTTCCTCTTCTGAAACTGAAAAAGAAAAGAAAATGTTTCAGGTATACGGGAAGATATTAAACATTAGGCGGTTAATCCTTATTTCATTTTGTGAGAAGAATTATTATCATCTTCACAATGAAATCTGATTGTAATAAACTCGTTTGGCAATGCAGCAATTTTATTGTTGATAGCTTTTTGTGTTTTTTTAATCATACAGCGATTGTTTTTGATGTTGTTTGAAACACAATTCAAAAAGAATTTTTCGTGGATATTCACAGCGTTTAATGTGTAGCAACCTTCTTTTGGATACCTTTGTTTTTTGTAATAAACTACAAAATGTATTAATTCACGTATTGTTTTTCATGTATCTAACTATGCGTAATTCGTTTTGTGTTGTTTTCACAAATGATATTGTGGAAGTTTTCCAAAATCCAATTACCTGCTACGTGAATGCGTCTTTCATTTCTGTTTAAAATTCTTGGCTAAATGATAATTCATGGTTTCAAATTTTGCCTCGTCATGTAAATGTGAAATCAAAGACGCGAACATTGATTTTTAATCTTTTGAAGTGCGAACTAGTCCTACATGAAGTTATTTAAGACAAGAAATTAAGCACAAAAAAATATCCTCTGAACGGAATCTTGGAAATCCAAGAAAACACAAACGTGGGCGGTGCAGGCTGCATTTTTTCATCATTTACAGTACAAAAAAGCTCTCTGCACTTTAATGGTAGTTTTTCAACACTCCATTCCGAATGTACTTTCCAACACCTCATACAACAATGTATAATTTTCAACATTTTGACTTACAAATATTTGAATAAGAGCGTTATTGATATAGAGTGTGTCGGTTCCGAAGAAGACTTTTTGGAAGGGAGAATAAATGTTGGGCTCTATAAGATAGTTGTATATATACACCCATCACAATTGTTTAACCGTAATGATAAAAGTATTTGAAAGTTATATAAGACTTATTATCTATAGCCCGATTTGGTGGTGCTACATCTTACAAAGTCTATCCGAATTATTTTTGCACAAAATTCCGCTCAAGCTGGTGCTAGGGGCCGTCTTTAACTTGCAGTGAGGTAAGAGTTTTTTTGCTCCGTCTTGAAGGCCTCACTGTAACTTTGAGATAAAGAACAGCAATAAAAGCGCTGTTCTTTTGCTTTTTGCTGTGCATGGACTGATTATGTGTCATGGTTGGTACCGCATATCCTTTATTTTTCTATTATTATTTGTTCTTTCACATCATTTTCCAAGTTTCTACATTAAAGTAAAATAGAAAAACCTGCTACAATGGCACCAGTTTTATGGAATCTTGTATAGCAGGAGCTTAAGGTTTATGTGGTAATATGTGAAAACGTTTTAGTTCAGTGAAATGCACTGTCTATATAACTTTGATACTCCTTTAGTTTCGGCACGTTTTCACCTTTTGATATTTGGTCATGAGATACTGACACAACTTGATGTCAATGCAATCGTTCTATGTCGCATTTGCTGTCGATGTCTCTATTAAAGGTGTTCGTACCATAACTAAGGTTATTGTAAAATATCATTAAAATCTTAAACATCACTACAAACACGGGCTTGGGTTGGGAAGTATACACACCGTAAGAAGAGCTTAAGGAACATCACCGCTAAAAAAAGTAAAATTAACAACAGGAGAAATTCTATGTATAAAACCCGCCAATAATCTTCGCAATGTTGAGTGACATTTGACAAAATTATATTCATATAGATACACAATTCAGCTTAATGTGTTCTTTAATGATAATCACGACGGAATCAGAGGTAATTCTATAACGAAGATTCTGTATTTTTTTTATAAAGTATTTTTAATTAATATACTGAATATCATTAGATATAAGGAATCAACATTACCATTTACTTTCTCCTCAAATAGAATGATTGCAAATTGCGCAGTTTTAAAACCATACACACCCAATCAGGTGAAATTGAAAAAGTTATAGCAACAGAAAAAAAAGTAACTGACAATATTGCCAGCTTATTTTTTGTTTCTAAATTGTATAGTTAATTAACAATATTACCGAAATAGTTTTATTCATTTGACCTATCTCTTACCGATAATTGATGCCAGATTTTTAATTGGTGTAATTAAAGCGTGGGATGTTGATCTGTCCGACAGTATTTTGGTTTAGTTTGTACGAATGCACACGGATCTTCTTTTTTTTTTGAATCACTACAATTGTTTATCCTTAAAACATTCTCTTTTGTTGTTGCAGATTTTGAAAATAAAACTGTGCACATATGTTATGAAAATAAAGAGTTGTGGTATGATTGCCAATGAGACAATACACCAAAGTTCTAATGAAGTGGATGTAATCAATCATAGTCAATCGTACGGCCTTCAACAATGAGAAAAACCCATACCGTATAGTAGGCCATAAAAGACTCCGACATGAAAAATATGAAACAATTTAATTGAGAAAACTAATGGTCTAATTTATAAAAAAAAAAACAATTTACGAAAAACAATTATGACAGACATGAACCAACGACAACCACTGAACTACAGGCTCCTGACTTTGGACAGGCACATAAAGAATGTGGCGGAGTTAAACATTTTTGAAGGCGCAAACTCTCCCCTAACATGGGACAGTGGTGGAACATACAATATAAGAACAAACAATACAAATCAGTTGAAAAGGGCTAAACTCATCAGATCGATATAAAGCAGAAAAACATATAACAAAAAGACAGACCAGACGTGGCAGGGTATTTATACATCCCTGACAACATAAAACAGCTAGTTCAAAGCCAATTACAACTAACTAAAAAATCACGTATCTAAGACTAAAATATCAATCAGTACACATCCAATGGATTTAGTGTAAAGACGTCATTCAAAGTCAGAGAAAAAATTAAACATGATCTTGTGCAATGCCAAAATATATAGGTATCGACAGATTGTAGTACCGTTACATGTAATGTGCATATGTGTATAACAATAATATTTAGCATGGTTTTATTTTACTGATGACAAAATCAACATTTATACCAATAAAAAAAAAATTCAAAGATCTAATTACAGTGTTGAATTTGTAACCTTTTAGAATAAATTTATTTAAAGGATTGATAAGTTTACCCGGATCGTATCTAAATTTCCGGGCTCGGTAAACAACATCACCGTAAAAATTAGGATGTGCTATTCCGTTTGAAATAAATTTTCTACAGGTACTGCCAATTTCCTAAACCAAATATTTTTACCTATGGAAGAATTTAGTAAAGGTTTTAAGTTGTTTGTGGTAACGAAATACCTGACTTAATAATTTACCAGTATTACATAGATTATGCTCATTGAAATCCAAAACGTCACTACAGACACTGGCATAGCGAACGAGTTGGGATATATAAACACCGTAGGACGGTGCCAAAGGAACATTACCGTCAAAAAAGGAAAATTAACAATAGGGAAAGAAAAGTAGTCCCTTTTGTCGTAAATTGTTGTGTAGAGTTTCTCGTGTTTGTATGTTGTCGTGGTTGAGGAATTTGTTCGGTTACATACAACTCAAGTTTCGCAACCTCACGGTGATATTTTTACATTTTACAAAAATATATGTATACAGAGAACATCAAACGAAGAAGAAAATGATATCGGTGTCCTTTTCTCTTAGTAATCTCTTTATTCGAACACAGGTAGTAATAACTCTTTCATCAATATGTTCAAAAACTGTCATAAAAATGGCAGAAGCAGCGGAAACTCAAGTGTGTGTCTAATGAAATTAGAGCGCCAATCGACCTTTTTGTTATTGACATAATCAAATCCATTAACCATCGACACAAATAACATGTGAATAAACAATACATTAGAAAAACTCTTAATCTTTTTGTCCGCAAAAGATTAATTCAAAAGTTAAGGTTCGGCAGTTGACAATACTCTGAAACCAATTAAGCAATGGTTTATGTAAGCATGTTGACAATGTTAATATACTGCAAAACGAATAAAGCAACAGTTTAAGTTCGTGACACATGCGAGAGAGGCACTTCCACAAAGAAGAACATAATGAATAAGGAGAGAACATGCAACTTCTTATAACTAGCAGGAGTCGGGATGTTTGGACCGTAGGGAGACAGTATTGATCTCGGAGTAATTTATGATTCGTGAATTGAAAAAGGATGGAAGAAAAGACAAAACATTGAAGTTGGGGTGAAAAATTATAGATGACATCCTGAACTATTATAAAATAAACGTGCGAAATAAATGAGAAATTGCTTTTATGAAACAATAGAGATATACACAATATTGAAATACAACATACAAACGAGAAACTTATGCATGGTTCATAAAGGTTAGAATCAAATCCTTTTAACATAATGCGCTTGTTGTCGTATGATAATGTATACCATATTGTGTAGAGAGTAATTATGTGTAATGCATGCCAATCTCTCATCATTACCAGGTGTCTATAGAATGCTTATTACCTGTATTTTGTTTGTTTCTCCTTATCTTAATTATTGACCAATATCTGATGAAATAGATAGATACTAGCATATTTGCACATGTATGTAAAACATCGAGTACCCTATAAATGTACATGTATACTAAGTTTGAGTAGTTCTTACGACCCATATACAAAAATATTGATCAATGTTTTGTTTATGGTCCTTAAATGTTGGTTTTTTTCTAGATCACTGGATAGACATAATAAAAGACACGAACAGAAAAAGCAGTACAGTAAGTGAGAAGGTAAAACCACTGAACAAAACATACATTGCATCCACTTTATTTGAACTTTGGTGGTTAGTTGTCTCATTGGCAATCATACCTCATCTCCTTATTTTTATAATGTGAGCTGACAAACCGTTTTAAGAAGAAAAGTTCAACACAAACATAAAATGGTTATTAAAATAACATGCACATTTTAGTGGCAGTTTCTTTAATCAATTGTAGCAAGTCTTTCAGAACTTTGGGCCAAACAGGAAGTTCATGGTCTCGATGTCCATAGGCTATTCAATGGCCCTCAGTCACAAGAATAAAAGAAAATGTGGGGATATACGTCAATGAGACTGCAATGCAACAACAAACTAAAAGAAATGTTTGATATTAAGTAATAAACAGCTCACATGGCAGATAAATTAAATAGTTTCTATTATTTTGCAATGTTCATATTGTTTAATTACTCATATCAAATGTCTATAATATTGACATTTATGTAAAATATCTATTTGATATTTTGTTTGAAAAAGATAATTGGCACTTAAATGAATGTTATGATTTAAACGTACGATTATACTCAATATTCCCGTAAAAAGTCAAAGAGACAGAATGGAATGTGCAAGCAGGTATGTTAAAAACGCAAGTTAACGTGCAATATAGAAAACACGAAATATTTAAGAAGTCAGGAAATCTTATACATGACAACATCAGGGAAACACAGAAAAATAGTAACGCTAGTCAAGCAGTATATGTTACAATGTTTTCTGCAAATGGTATCGAAAGATATCAACCCGGAGTCATAATGTATCGAGCGGCTGATATTTACGATATCTATACACTGAAAATCCGATAACCTGTTTAATGCTACTAAATCAGGTAATATTTTCGCCTCCCCGGACTGAGGCTCTCAAATTGTGACATGGCTTTGTGAAATAAATTCCGCACAAAGACATGATACTAGAATTACGGAGCGATTGATCAGATTAATTTCCATATATGCCACAAAATATTGTTCTACATTTGCTTAAAATATTGTATTTTTTGAAAGGACAAATACGTGTAAATATAAAACTATCATCATAAATTATAGATCGGTACTATCCCTTCCCGAAGGAGAGATAACTCTTTCAAAGTAAACTGATAAGAGTAAACATTTGGTATCACGAACATTGTCGAATGAAACATTCATATTACTAGCTATAGTAAACATGTTTTCCTACCAAATTGACTTAAATCAAAATTATAGGCTACATGTAATAAGCAAAATAATAATCTGAAATTATCTGAAATTGGGAAATTGAATTTAAAATTCTTGTAGAATCCGTTTATCATTGAATAGTTGTCTTACTAACAATGTGATAATTGAATAATAGAATATGTGGATAAGACACGTAATAAATCATAATGGAGCACGCTACTGCAACGTTATGTTGTGGTTATCATAAACATAATATTGATTGCTTAATGTGGAAGGCTCCCTTGGTGATATCAAGGCACTCAATAAATCGATACCATCCTTGTAAAGACAAATGCAATTTACTAAATAAATTTGAAACGATAAAAAGCTCTGTATTCAAACTTGAAAAAGATCATTGTGTTTGCATATAATCACTTGAATTATAGAGAGGCACTTTAAGGGAGAACTTAAAATACCCCCTAGTGAATGCACATGCAGTACAGTATAACAATATAACTGAACACACAAAATATATATGTATAGTTATATTATTCAATGCTATTTATATCCGTTGGTGGTGAGAAGTAATATCATTGAATTATTTTTAGAATTATACATTACACAAACAAATTATTAATAAATTTAATGAACTAGTTTATAATTTAATAATCAAATATACTTACAATATGTTTTCTTTTTTAAATCGCTGACTTCTTCTGGTTTTAATTTACTATTCTTTTTTCCCATTTCTAAATTCCCAGAAATACATCATTCACTCTCCCATTCTTATTATTTGTGGTAAGCATCCATGTATGAACCAAAAATACCACATCTGACACGCTGATCATACGCTACAAATGCAAGGTCAAATAATAACGGTTACATCAGAGGTATTCCGAGTGTTGTGTTGATGCTGCTGATTAGCTTATCTTCCATAGAGAAATGGCGCCAATTGTAATTCATTAACATGCACGTAGGAAACAATAACGTTAATATAATTATCATCCCTAGCGATGGTTTTTGTAAAATTTCTTTGGTTTGGTAATTAGGTGCATTGGAAATCGATTTCCTCTTATTTATGATATATGCATTGAATGTTAAGATAATTCTCCGGAAAATAGAAACATAATACAGATTCATTCTGTACAAGCAGTCTGATGGGTAATTATAACCTATTTATGATAATGACTGTATTTATAATATCAAGTATTGATGGATAGCGATCATTACACATTAAACAAGAAGAAAAAAGTTTCAACCTGAGTTTAATTTAAGATTATCTAACTTTTTTCTATCTCAAAAAGCATTAAGGTGGTACCAAACACCTTGACTAAAATTAGTATGGCTCGTTTAATTTTCATAAAATTTTGAAAAAATATTTACTTTGACCCTTTGATAAAAATATAAAAATTTAAACAAAATTTAAACCACACATTTATCATTATTTTTTATCATTGAGAAGCTTGATATTTCATTAGCAATAGAACGTGTTTAAATCGTTCAGCTGTTTTTACAGAGTTTTCTCCCTGTTGTGTTATGTACCACCTTAATTGATTTAAAACATTGAAAAATGCAATGAATAAAAACAACTCATACCTACAACATTAAAAGTAGGTCTAAAATAATATGATAATGGTACAAAATAAATGTGTTGTGTTTTCCCTTGGTTGGCGTCAATAATACTCCTCTTTGTGGGGGTTTCGCGCGTAATTACAAGGCATGAAAAACATATGACATTACAAAATCTGTTGTCATTCTACTGAAAGGGAGGATTGTATAGATCCTCATTTCTTATCGTAACTTTTCATTATTTGTTGACGTTTGCTTCAGGCCATACAATTACAACACTGACCGCTAGATCTATAAAAAAACAGCACGATATGGATATCTGTTGGACGACACTTGCATCTGAATTAATATTAACCAGGGAATGAAAAAAAACAGCCTAAACCCGGTTCAAGAGGTCAAATTTTCCTGAGAGGACTAAGTATAACTACTAACTTATAAATCAAAATAAAAAATATCGAAATATCAGCTACTTGGCGGATTTAATCATCGGAACTAGTATACACAGCAGCGGTATCGACCCAGTTGCAGTTGTATATATTTCAGTGCGCATGTACATGTGTTTCAGGGGTAACATTTTTAGGATGAGTGCCAAATGGTCCGGGATGCCAAATTAGTCCTGTCTTAATTTCAACATCAGAAGAAAATTAGCAATTGATTGTATTGTAATGTTATTGGTGGAGTTCATTTTTCTCAGTCTTTAGTTTTCTATGTTGTGTTTGTGTACTGTTGTTTGTCATTTGATCGTTTTTCGTTTTTTCATGGCATTGTCAGTTTGTTTTCGACTTACACGTATGAGTTTGAATATGCCTTTGACATCTTTCGCTTCTTTCTTATAAAGGATGAATGTCGGGAAAGAAAATGCCATGACTGTTTTATTCTCATTCCCAAAAAAAGAAATATTAATTCAGTATGCTTTAATGTCTCTTTTGTTTATTACTGTACAAATATAATTGATATCTTTTTTATATTTTCATTTATTGTATATGTTCCGGACTATTTGAATATTTGGACCATATGCGTATATACAACATGGTACCCCTCAAATAAAACAATGGCTTTGATGAGAAAAAATCAATAAATTTGTATAAGGGAATGAGTAAAAGTTGCGGATACAAAATTTGTTCCTCCAAAAAGAGGCAATGGGAAAGTCTATGTTTTGATAAGGGACACCTTAGTCTGATCAACAAACATAGTATCAGGTGCATAATGATATTAAGAGAAAGTTTCAATTTTAATAAATGGTTTAGGAGGAGTTGCAGATACAGAATGCGTAACACCCCACCCCCCCCCCCCCTAAAGAAATAAGAATATGTGGTATGATTATCAAGGAGACAACTCTTCACTAGAGATCAACTGACGTAGAAGTAAGCAACTATAGGTCGCTGGACGGCCTTCAATAATGAGCATAACCCATAGGCAGAGCAAGCTATAGTAGATGGTCCCGAAATGACAAATGTAAAACAATTCAAACGAGAAAACTAACGGGCTGATATACGGGCAAAACGATAAATGAAAAACAAATGTGATATACAGAAGCAAACAACAACCACTGAGTTACAGACTCCTGACTTTCGAAGGGCACATACAGAATGTGGCGGGGTTAAACTTGTAAGCGAATCCAACCCTCCCCCAACCTGGAAAAATGGTTCATTTATTTTTCTATATAAATTTATATAGTTGTCTGACACAAAAATCATTCTTAATTTATGTATAATTGCGACACATATTTCCCTTTTTCCTATATGTATCTTTATGATAATGACTTGGCCTCGTTTTTCTCTTAACCAAATTTTACCGGTAGACGGACATGCAAATGCCGGCAATCGATTTCCAATACACTACTTTTCACATTATATAATAAATGTAAAATGTAATTTCAATATAGTTTTTCATTACAAAATATGCAAAACTTAATGAATAATTCAAATCAAATTGTTTGCGTTATATCCAAATGTTTGCGTCATTTCGCAAAGGTTTGTGCTATAGGTTTGCATATTTCGCAAAGGCCTGCGTTATTTCGCAAAGGTTTGCGTTATAACGCAAAGGTACGCAAACATAGGAAGTAATATATATAAAAAATAATTTTGTGGTTCTAATACGCTTCCATACAATTGACATTTTCATTCGTATTGATATTTTTAAAGATCTGCTTTTGCTGATCATTTTTGCAGCTTAAAGTTTTTTGCACATCTATTAAACTGTCAAGATAAAAGTCAAAACACTAATATTGATAAAAAAAAATATAATCTTTTTAGAGGAAATACTTTCATAACTACAAAATTCAAAGTCAATTGATGGATTCAGTCGTATTGGCATATTTAATATTGCATTGCTGATCATTTAACCAGTTTAACTGTTTGTATTAATTCATAAAATGTTTCAAGATTTTAGATAAAACACTAAATTTAAATTAAAGAAATTATCATTTAAGGGCAATATCTCTTAAAACGAGCCAAATGAGGTTAATCATGATTGTGCATTTGGTATTTTTGTATATATATATATCTTGTATTTCTGGTCAATTTTGCTGTTTCGCAGTTTGTGTCTATAAACTATGGTTATCAAGATAATATCTGAGACTACTATAACACATGTGTTATAGTAGTCTCAGATAATATGTACAAAAAACTTTGACAGTTGGGAACTAACGAGTCAAGTGAAGGTTGTTAACTGTCTTATTTCCTATTTGCACTTTTTTAGATCTTGTAGTTTTTTCCTGTTTACAGTTTCTGTCTACCTAATATCATAGTTTTCAAATTAATATGCAGAAACGCTACATTTGGAAATTTCCGGCAATGCATCCTATAAAAAGTCGTTAATAGTTTATATATAAACGGAGGATAGATAGATCCTGGTATTCTATACTTTTTTCCTGTCAGATTTTGTAGACCTAGATTAGATTATGGTTCTGAAGATATTATACAATTACTTGCATTTTTTGTTCTATTATTAGCCTTGGCGGCCATGTTGATTGATGAACTGAACTAGAATGAACAAAAATAAACTATAAAGACTCCCAAAAAAATCAATTCCGTAAAGTCATATGGCAAATGGCTAAATAGTTTTAGATATTTGAAATATTTGCGCACGCCAAGCAGACGACATGTAATAGCATTGAAAGTAGCAAAACAAGAAATAAATTTACGAAATACAGTTCCGAGAGGTTCTCGGCCATTTTACAGGTTTCTTGAAATTATGTATCATAATAAGTACTAGTAATACGTGTTGCTGCATTTGTTTGCACCTGTCCGTAGTCAGGAACATGTTTCAGTGGTTGTCGTTTGTTGATGTGGTTCATAAGTGTTTCTAGTTTCTCGTTTTTCATATAGATTATACCGTTGGTTTTCATGTTTTGTTTTACACTAGTCATTTTTGGGGGCCCTTTATAGCTTGCTGTTCTTTTTGAGCCAAGGCTCCGTGTTGAAGGTCGCACTTTGACCTATAATGTTTTACTTTTTACATATTATGACTTGGATGGAGAGTTGTCTCATTGGAACTCATACCACATCTTATTTCTATTTATCTGCTCCATATTCATCAATAACATCCATAGAATGAACAAAAATAGTACCTCTCCCATCTTTTAATTTACCTTGGAGTATGGTATTTTTGTTAATACTTTTTTCTCATCGATCTAAGTTCGTTTTAGGAATTGATATCGATGTAAGTCAGTTGTACTTACAATGTAGGATGCTTGTTGGCGTTAAATTCGTCTATTTATGCAAATGTATTATTCATTATTACCGGATAACCTCAGGGGATATGCCGAATTGACTTTTGGTTTTTCTCTACAGACACTCTGCAAAATTTATTATTACTAGGTAACCTCCGAGGATATACCGAATTGACTTTTGGCTTTTCCTGATACTCAGTATTGTCTGCAGAATAGAATTCAAAATATCTAAAATTAATCTTAAAGATAAATAATTAATTTGTAGATTAGTATGTTATTGAAATTCAAATCCTTATGGACGCTCCTACAATAAAAATATGATTTAAATATTTTTGTTAAAGCGATACAATGTAATGAAAGCAACATTTATTCCTGTATTATTTTACAGTGTTTTCTGTTGGCAAGGGGCCAATTGAGTAACAAAAAGCCGCTGATTTATGTTTTCGGCCTATATAAACTATACTAAAGTGCCTGTAGATATAGCATTCAATGTCGAAACCGTTTTGCTGTTTGATACTCCGTAATATTTACATAATCTTAAAACCAATGCAAAGTTCTGTAAGGGAGAATAACCAAGTCAATACTTATCTCAATTAGACCTAACCACAAAGTGGCACTTTCTGTAAGAACAGTGGCATCTACTTAAAAAGAAAGGCAAAAGATACCAAAGGAATATTCAAACTTATAAGGT